AGGGTTTTTTTCTGCGTCACATTTCATATTGATTTTACAGATCAAATGTGCCAAACTTGAGATTGCAGATCATGTAGCACCTTGTGTTAATGTGTGTCTATGCACACACACGAGTGTGTTATGCTGATGATGATAATTAGTTGTAACCATTTTTCAAGACATTTATATTATATTTGTGAATGTGTATGTAAAAATCAGGTGTCTTGTCTATTTTATATATGCTAACACACACACACACCATTTGTCAGAGAACTGTAATGTGTGTGTGTGAGAGAGAGAGAGTTACATATGTCATCACATATATATATATATATATATATATATATATATATATATATATATATATATATATATATATATATATATATATATATATATATATATATATATATATATATATATATATATATATATATATATATATATATATATATATATATATTTTACCTACATACATACACACAAAATACACATCAGACGCACACACACTAGAGGACCACTTTTCATGTAACAACCATTGTAAGCAGATTTTGTGATGCCCAGTGGCTTGTTGTGTAACAGTGGATACCTAAGTGCTTTTGATGATCTTCATTTGTGTGGGGTCCATAAATCTGGTCAGTAGCCAGCCTCTCATGTATCATGTCCATCTGATACTCCACTGGTTGTGTATCCATCTGATACTCTAGCTGTGTATCCATTTGATACTCTAGCTGTGTATCCATCTGATACTCCATCGGTTGTGTAACCATCTGGTAATCCACTGGTTGTGTATCCATCTGATACTCCACCGGTTGTGTATCCATCTGGTACTCCACCGGTTGTGTATCCATCTGATAACTCCACCGGTTGTGTATCCATCTGATACTCTAGCGGTTGTGTATCCATCTGATACTCCATCAGTTGTGTATCCATCTGATACTCTAGCAGCTGTGTATCCATCTGATACTCTACCAGCTGTGTATCCATCTGATACTCTACCAGCTGTGTATCCATCTGATACTCTAGCAGTTGTGTATCCATCTGAAACTCCACCAGCTGTGTATCCATCTGGTACTCTACCAGCTGTGTATCCATCTGATACGCAAGCACTTGTGTATCCACCTGATACTCTACCAGCTGTGTATCCATCTGAAACTCTGTCAGTTATGTATCCATCTGATACTCTAGCAACTGTGTATCCATCTGATACTTCAGTGGTTGTGTATCCATCTGATACTCTACCAGCTGTGTATCCATTTGATACTCCATCGGTTGTGTATCCATCTGATACTCTACCAGCAGTGTATCCATCTGATACTCTACCAGCTGTGTATTCATCTGATACTCTAGCAGTTGATTATCCATCTGATATTCTACAAGTTGTGAATTCATCTGATATTCTAGCAGTTGTGTATTCATCTGATATTCTAGCAGTTGTGTATTCATCTGATATTCTAGCAGTTGTGTATTCATCTGATCCTCTAGCAGTTGTGTATTCATCTGATATTCTAGCAGTTGTGTATTCGCCTGGTACTCCAGCAGCTGTGTATCCATCTGATGCTCTAACAGCTGTGTATCCATCTGATACTCTACCAGCTGTTTATCCATCTGATACTCCATCATTTGTGTATCCATGTGATACTCCATCAATTGTGTATCCATCTGATACTCCATCATTTGTGTATCCATCTGATACTCTAGCAGCTACCACCCAGAGATTGGAAGGTCAGGTAGGATGTTGGGTCTCTTGACAGCTGTTTTCAGTAACATTTGAACCTGGCACTCACTGATCTAGAGGCAGATCACTCCACCACTCCATGTTCAGGGGTTTAATCTCCACCCATGTAGGACAAATTGGAGGTTCCCTCACCACTAGAATCCTAGAACTGACTTTGCTTTATCACATAATTCAAGTTGTTGTATTGACTACTGTCTGACTGTAGCTCTGTCTGGCTGTAGTACTGACTCAATGTAGTACTGTCTGGCTGTAGTACTGTTTCAGTGAGTACTGTCTCAGTGTGGTACTTACTATCAGGTTGTAGTACTGTCTGGATGTTGTACTGGGAATGTACAGTGTTATCTGGATATAGTACTGTCTGGATATGGTACTGCCATGACATTTGTAGTGTCATAAGGAAAGATATGCTGCATTTACCACGTGTGCTTACCTGTGACCCCCTGAACACATGTAGTTACATCCCCTTGTGACTGGTTCCTAGTTACTGAATGAAATGAATCTAGCTCTATTTGCTAGCATGACAACTCACTTCCATCTGTAGATCACAACTTGTTTTGTTATGTTTATAACATCCCTTTTTATCTCATATCATATCGGTACAAATACCTAGTTGACTTTAATGTGTTGAAATAATTTATGATATGTAATCATTTAATAACATTTTGTCGTCATTGATTCTTCGTGACTGAATCAGAACTTTATTTTTATAATATACAGTGTAGTTCAGAACAATGTTTTCCTATTGTGAATTTTAATATGGAGACCACAAACAACGGACTGCACAGTTAACTGCCTGTTTCATTTAGCTGTGTCTCATCAGATGTGTTCTACAGAGTTGCATCAACGTATAAACTTGAATCATTTCCGCCGAAAAGCACAGATTACGTGCTGTGCTGTTACACTCACCCAGGTGTGTCCACACTAGATCCAGTTGTCTTCAGGTCTACTCTAGATCCAGTTGTTTTCGGGTCCACTCTAGACCCAATTGATTTGCAGGGTCCACGCTTGACCCAGGTGTGGGCTTTAGTCCAAGTGTGTCTGTGTCAAGCGCATAGCCAAGAATTTTACACTGCTCACTAAAACCATAATCACTCGGCCCTGTGATCTCCTGGGTAGTGTGTTTAAAACCTGGCCCTCTCTAATAAAGGCTGAAAATCTCAAGTATGTGTGCACCATGTGTTAACTCTTTGGGTCCCAAGGAACTCATCATGCGTTCATAGGTTCCTATCTAGAAGCCCAGTGAAAGCAAGATGCATTGATTTTAATCTTTCTTCACTACGCCTTGGGACTTTGATGCTAAACCCTCTAGGACTCAAAGAGTTAAAGAACCCAAAACAGCAAGAGATGGCTGAAGCCGTTTACACAGACACTGATGTAAATTGAGAGTGGCGGTGATGTAGCAGCTAGATGCGGGTCAGAAGGTCGAGTGGCGGTGGTGTAGCAGCTAGATGCGGGTCAGAAGGTGGTGGGTTCGGGTCCTGGCAGAGCCATAATTTGTTTCTTCAAATAATGACCTTGGCTCCCAGATCAACCCAACTTTGAGTGGGTACCTGGTGCAGTCCTGGGAAGTAAAGGTGGCCTGTGTGATGTCAACCACATCACCCACCGAGTGCTGATTGGTCAATAAAATATAGGTCTAACCCTATATGCCCAGTACATTTGTAGGCATGGAAAAGGGCCTTTGACCTTTTAGCAACATCCATAAATTAGTCAGGAAACACACACAATTTTTGTGTAAACAGTTTTGCCTGTTGATCACATCCAAACTAAATGTCCATTCCCTGGTCTGTGAAACTGCATTGTTTGTACGATAATGTTGCCTGTATATATTTATACATATGTCTCTGGAAGATGTCCTCTTCCATTCTCTGACTGTTGTTTGTCCAGCATCTGAGAGAGAACTCGTTCAAGAGAGTGGTGATGTTTGTTTGTGTTTGTGATTACCTTGTTGTCTTTTGGTGTGAAAAACGTAACTTTTTCTTAAATTATTTATGATTAATAAATATACATGATTTTGCTGGTTCATGGCTGCTTTGTCTGTTTGGTTTCGTATTTGTGTATGCTAACAATTTAAATATTTAGACAAGTTCTGGTACCACTGGAGTTGGAACTTTTAATTTGCTGCTGACGATGGGGACTGAGCACTTATGGGAGTGCTACAATGTTGATTCTTAATTCAACATCTAAGACATGAAGACAAAAAGCTGTGTCCTGACCAGCCATTAATGGTCTGATATTCTGTACATACGTAGCAAATGGATAATGGATCAAGAAAATGGCGAAGGCATTTTAAATTAGAATTTAGAGAATATCATGAAAGTAATTATGTTGAGAATATCATGAAAGTAAAGAATGTTGAGAATATCATGAAAGTAATGAATGTTGAGAATATCATGAAAGTAATGAATGTTGAGAATATCATGAAAGTAAAGAATGTTGAGAATATCATGAAAGAATGTTGAGAATATCATGAAAGTAAAGAATGTTGAGAATATCATGAAAGAATGTTGAGAATATCATGAAAGTAATGAATGTTGAGAATATCATGAAAGTAATGAATGTTGAGAATATCATGAAAGTAATGAATGTTGAGAATATCATGAAAGTAAAGAATGTTGAAAACATCATGAAATTAAAGAATGTTGATAATATCATGAAAGTAATGAATGTCGAGAATATCATGAAAGTAATGAATGTCGAGAATATCATGAAAGTAATGAATGTTGAGAATATCATGAAAGTAATGAATGTTGAGAATATCATGAAAGTAATGAATGTTGAGAATATCATGAAATGAATGAATGTTGAGAATATCATGAAAGTAATGAATGTTGAGAATATCATGAAAGTAATGAATGTTGAGAATATCCTAAAAGTAAAGAAATTTGGGAATACCATGAAATTAACTAATGTTGAGAACATCATAAAAGTAAATAATGTTGAGAATATCATGAAAGTAAAGAATGTTTGAGAATATCATAAGAGTAACAAATGTTTAATAATATAATGAAAGTAAAGAATGTTTGATAATATCATGAAAATAATTAATGTTAGATAATATCATAAAAGTAATAAATGTTAGATAATATCATGAAAGGAATGAATGTTGAGAATATCATGAAGGTAAAAAATGTTAGATAATATCATGAAAGTAATAAATGTTAGATAATATCATGAAAGGAATGAATGTTAGATAATATCATGAAAGTAATAAATGTTAGATAATATCATGACAGGAATGAATGTTAGATAATATCATGAAAGGAATGAATGTTAGATAATATCATGAAAGTAATGAATGTTTGATAATATCATGAAAGTAATGAATGTTTGATAATATCATGAAAGTAATGAATGTCGAGAATATCATGAAAGTAATGAATGTCGAGAATATCATGAAAGTAATGAATGTCGAGAATATCATGAAAGTAATGAATGTCGAGAATATCATGAAAGCAATGAATGTCGAGAATATCATGAAAGCAATGAATGTCGAGAATATCATGAAAGCAATGAATGTCGAGAATATCATGAAAGTAATGAATGTTGAGAATATCATGAAAGTAATGAATGTTGAGAATATCGTGAAAGTAATGAATGTTGAGAATATCGTGAAAGTAATGAATGTTGAGAATATCGTGAAAGTAATGAATGTTGAGAATATCATGTAAGTAATGAATGTTGAGAATATCATGAAAGTAATGAATGTTGAGAATATCATGAAAGTAATGAATGTTGAGAATATCGTGAAAGTAATGAATGTTGAGAATATCATGTAAGTAATGAATGTTGAGAATATCGTGAAAGTAATGAATGTTGAGAATATCATGTAAGTAATGAATGTTGAGAACATCATGAAATTAAAGAATGTCGAGAACATCATGAAATTAAAGAATGTCGAGAACATCATGAAATTAAAGAATGTCGAGAATATCATGAAAGTAATGAATGTTGAGAATATCATGAAAGTAATGAATGTTGAGAATATCATGAAAGGAATGAATGTTGAGAATATCATGAAAGGAATGAATGTTGAGAATATCATGAAAGTAATTAATGTTGAGAATATCATGAAAGTAATGAATGTTGAGAATATCATGAAAGTAATGAATGTTGAGAATATCCTAAAAGTAAAGAAATTTGGGAATACCATGAAATTAACTAATGTTGAGAACATCATGAAAGTAAATAATGTTGAGAATATCATGAAAGTAAAGAATGTTTGAGAATATCATGAAAGTAACGAATGTTTAATAATATAATGAAAGTAAAGAATGTTGATAATATCATGAAAGTAAAGAATGTTGAGAATTTTGTAAAAGTAAAGAATGTTAATAATATCATGAACATATTTAATGTTTGATAATATCATGAAAGTAATTAATGTTGAGAATTTCATGAAAGTAAAGAATGTTTGATAATATCATGAAAATAATGAATGTTAGATAATATCATGAAAGTAATAAATGTTAGATAATATCATGAAAGGAATGAATGTTAGATAATATCATGAAAGTAATAAATTTTAGATAATATCATGAAAGGAATGAATGTTAGATAATATCATGAAAGGAATGAATGTTTGATAATATCATGAAAGTAAAGAATGTTGAGAATATCATGAAAGTAATGAATGTTAGATAATATCATGAAAGTAAAGAATGTTGAGAACATCATGAAAGTAATGAATGTTGAGAATATCATAAAAGTAAAGAATGTTGAGAATATCATAAAAGTAAAGAATGTTGAGAATATCATAAAAGTAAAGAATGTTGAGAATATCATAAAAGTAAAGAATGTTGAGAATATTATGAAAGTAATGAATGTTTGATAATATCATGAAAGTAATGAATGTTTGATAATATCATGAAAGTAATGAATGTTTGATAATATCATGAAAGTAATGAATGTTTGATAATATCATGAAAGTAATGAATGTTTGATAATATCATGAAAGTAATGAATGTTTGATAATATCATGAAAGTAATGAATGTTGAGAATATATTGAAAGGAAAGAATGTTGAGAATATCATAAAATTAATGAATGAATGGGTAATACCATGAAAGTAGAAGAACATTGAGAATATCATTAAAAATAAAAGAATGTTGAGAATTTCATCAGAAGAGAAGAATATTGCAAATATTTGAATAGAGTTTAGGATAGAAAAGAAAACATATGTTGGACATACTGAGAGATGCAAGTGTGACAAGATCAATCATACAACAATAACAACTAAATTCAGGTATAAAATTAGAGAAATTACTTCACATAAATTCACAGAACACAGACATTCCAATCATCGAGTAATATATTAACAGAACACAGATATTTCAATCATCATGTAATAAACTCACAGAACACAGATATTTCAATCATCATGTAATAAACTCACAGAACACAGATATTTCAATCATCATGTAATAAACTCACAGAACACAGATATTTCAATCATAATGTAATAAACTCACAGAACACAAATATTTCAATCATCATGTAATAAACTCACAGAACACAGATATTTCAATCATAATGTAATAAACTCACAGAACACAGATATTTCAATCATCATGTAATAAACTCACAGAACACAGATATTTCAATCATCATGTAATAAACTCACAGAACACAGATATTTCAATCATCATGTAATAAACTCACAGAACACAGATATTTCAATCATAATGTAATAAACTCACAGAACACAGATATTTCAATCATCATGTAATAAACTCACAGAACACAGATATTTCAATCATCATGTAATAAACTCACAGAACACAGATATTTCAATCATCATGTAATAAACTCACAGAACACAGATATTTCAATCATAATGTAATAAACTCACAGAACACAGATATTTCAATCATCATGTAATAAACTCACAGAACACAGATATTTCAATCATCATGTAATAAACTCACAGAACACAGATATTTCAATCATCATGTAATAAACTCACAGAACACAGATATTTCAATCATCATGTAATAAACTCACAGAACACAGATATTTCAATCATCATGTAATAAACTCACAGAACACAGATATTTCAATCATCATGTAATAAACTCACAGAACACAGATATTTCAATCATCATGTAATAAACTCACAGAACACAGATATTTCAATCATCATGTATAAGTCGCAGAAAACATATATTCTTAACATTACATATAAATTAACAGTACACAGGTTTTCCAATCATCACGTACAAATTGACAGAATACAGACATTTCATGCATAAATCATCATGCATAAATTAACAGAATATAGATATTGCAATCATCACATACAAATTCACAGAACACTGATATGTCAATCATTGCACATAAATTAACAAAACACAGATATTCCAGTCATCACATATAAATTCAAAGAACACAGATATTCCAATCATCACATATAAATTCAAAGAACACAGATATTCCAATCATCACATATAAATTCAAAGAACACATATATTCCAATCATCACATATAAATTCAAAGAACACAGATATTCCAATCATCACATATAAATTCAAAGAACAGAGACAATCAAAAGAAATTGTGTACAAATTCACAAGAATCCTGCACAAACAACTAAATTCCTGAAATATGCATGTATGTGTACATATACATATATATGACACAAAGTGTGCAATTTGTTAATTTAGCAGGATTCCATAAACACTCCTGTAATTATGGTGGCACCACTGACAGGTGGCACCACTGTAGCAATTTAGAAAAAATGGCTTTCAAAGACAAAATGCCATAGAATTCCCCAATGCTGAAGGTAAACATATCTTTCAATGTCTTTATTTTGAATTCAACAACTGAAGTCTCCGATGAGGGCCCCAGTGTGAGGGGAAAACAAGAACAGACTCTCCCCCAATAAGCATGTTGTAAAAATTAACTAATTGGTGGCTTTCTTCAAAGTCGGAGTACATCTGCCTGAGAGGCAAGGAACCAACAGTCTGCATTTTTTAAAAAAGTCAGGTTTGTAAAACAGATGTGCGCACAACAGGCAGTTTATGGAACAAGACCAAAGCCCTGAGGTGGATGAATAACCAGAACTTTCTGCTTAAAGCAAAAGATAAAGAAGAAGAAGAACTGAAGTCAAGGTAATGGTAATGCTGCTAAAAATGAGGACGGAGCACACATGGGAATGCCCTGAGTGCTGTGATGTCAATTTTTGACTCAACGCAACACCTGATAAGTTAACAGCAAAATATAACAGGGAATACATGCTGCAATGTATTGTCCCTGTCTTCTTTGTGCAAATAAAATGAAGTCACTTTAAACTTTAGATATTCTATACAGACATAGTTTTTATAAACTGATATGTTTCTCATTTTGAGGTAAAAAAACAGAAAATGTTTCTTAAAAATGTATAGAAAAAAAAACTAACAACATAACAATATTCAGTTATATTTTTTTTTTAAACATTTGTGTAAGGATCATCAAAGAATAGGCTTTTGTTCATGTCACTGATAAAAAAGCTGGCAGAAAACATAATACAATGGCATAAACAACCACACAGAAACAAAGTGGCTCAAAAACAATCATGGGTGCTTTCTGTTTAGCTGACCACAAATGACATAAGGGTGGAAGAGTGGGTTTTCCGTGGTTTCTGAGCTTAAGCGCGATTTTTCCATAGCCAAGAATTTCATGTGTTTTCCTAACCCTAACTATATGCTTAATCTACCACCCCCTGAAATATTTGTCTCATGACCTGTGGATTTCCCCTGTTTGTGGTCAGCTAATAAGAAAGTACACAATCAGGTAACTGCAGTTCCAACTTCACAGCAACCCCAGAGCCGGATTTAGTTTTGATGAGGCCCCTACCATTTTCGATGACACCCGTTAATCTCAGAAAACTTCAAAATATATATATTCCTTTTAAATATATAACATTTCAAAAAACAAATTAAAAAGGTAAGGTGTGTATCCTTTACAGGACGTTGTAGAACCAACCTCAGCATTTTTTTTTGCTGTTGTGGCTTTTCTAGGCAAACTTCATGTTTAGAAGTTTGCCATTGGTTTCTAAAATGTCAGCACTTATTACCACTGTAGAAAACCAACGCAAGACAAATCGTCTGCAGCTGGAATCGAACGCGGCACCCCGGCATTAAGAAGCGCGTTCGCAACGCCTAAGCCACAGACGCCACCTTTTAAATATATAGATAATGGACAAAAAACTGTCGCTTAATTTTTATTAACAGAAAAAATTAGGAAAGTGTTTGCAAAATCACAGTAATTATATTATCCTTTAAAAGACTCTAAGTTTTATATATTAAAAGAAAATTTCACATATGAATGGTAAGAAAAATTTTGTTGAGGCCCCTGCAGACTATGAGGCCCTGAGCTGTAGCTTATTTAGCGGATACTTAAATCCGGCACTGGGGATTCTTGTGCCAATGAAAACCACACAGATTGTTCACCACTTCCTGGTTGAAACAAAAAAATTATACAGACTGCTGTATCAGCAAAGTCAGTAGCATACAAATGCATTAAACGGTCATCAGGAGTGCCAACACAAACAGTCCAGTACTAGTACACGCAATTAATCGCATAAGGCACCAACAGTTCTCTTCTTTGGCCAAAAAAAACCATTCGCCATTTTATGTATCTGCAGTTTACAATACAAGCCACGTTGGGCACAGCTGAACAGTATTCTGAATGAAAATTCACAGCTCACAGTGTCAGGGCACACACTCAACTCAGTAGCTGGGCCACTCAAACAACACACAGTAAAACAAAACTGTAGCAGACATTGGGAATGTAAATAATGGATAAAACAGATCTCATAAACTTAAACCTGTTTATGAGGTAAACCTGTTGTGTGATCACCGGGTGAGAGTGTTAAGTATGAAGCAAATTAGTTCTGTATCCTTTATAGCATGATGCAGAACCAAACCCGGCATTTTGTTTTTTGGCTGTATGGTTTCACTAAGCAATTTCACATTCAGTTGTCTGCCATTGGTTGTTGAACGGTCAGCAATCAATACCACTGTCGAAATCAACACAAGCGATTTGCTTGGAATTGAACTGTTTACTTAGCAAATTCAAAGCGCATTTGCAACAA